AAAAAAAAAAAAAAAAAAATTACTTTTTGTTTTACTGTAGCAAAAGAATCATACATGGATTTTAGAAATTGTTGCTATGGCTTATAAACTTAATAGTTAAGGGTGGTTTTTTAACTTTTATTGATTGTCATTTAATAACATGTCACTGGTAACATCCAAATTAATATTTATACATTCCTAAACTTTCCATATATGGAAAAGATTTTTGTCAAGCCAGGAAAAAAAGGCCATTGCTACCCTTATCATTTATACATAAAGTAATAAAAAGTAAGTCCATTATGGTTTGAATATAGTTTGTCCCCTCCAAGACTCATGTTAGAGTTTAACTGCCATTTTGAGGTGTTCAGAGCAGGGAAACTTAATTCTTCTGTTACTTCTTTTAAACCATAGGCTTAGAGGTGGGCCCTTTAGGAAGGGACGGGGATAGAGAAGATCATCAGAAGGATAAATACTACTTTTAAATATGAAGTTGCAGCATCAGTGAAATCAGTTTCAATTTCTCCTGGTAGGACTTTTGGCTACAAATTTTTAAAATATAAAAATGCATGGTGGTGCACACCTATAATCCCAGCACTCAGGAGGCTGAGGCAGGAGGATCACTGTGAGTTTAGGGCCAGCCTGGGCTACAAAGTGAGCTCAAGGACAGCCTGAATTGCATAATGAGACCCTGTCTCAAAAAGACCAAAAACAAAACAAAACAAAAACAACAACAACAACAAAAGAACAGTGACTTACTTCTCACCTGGGTCTCTGCCCAGAAGTGCAGGTTATAGAAAACTCCTCAAAATATTCTAAAAGTACTTCACAAAACTGGTAAAACTCTACCTACCCCAACCCAACCCACTGACAAGTGCTCACCATCCACATTCAAGAATTATCCAAAAACTGCAAACATAAAAAAAAAAAACCCTGCAAACATGACTGATGTAAGTGGATTTCACCTTGTACAAACTGATATGACTTTAAAAATTATATATCCCAATATCACCAAACTCATCTGCCTACCTTCAAAAAGGCCTTGTTTCAGATTTCACTTACTGTATTTCTCCTACCCCTGAATTGTAACCGCTTTCACATCAACAGGACTCACCTTGACCCTTGACGCATCCAAGTTCAGTCTTGGCCCCCTGAACTGAGTCCAGGGACTTAAAAAAAACTTTAAAACTTATTGTAACCTTTTATGTTTTGTAGAAACTAAAACCTGGCACAGTGTGAAGACAAAGTATGATTGCTAATCCTCTGAAAGAAAGAAAACCAGCCAGGGGGCAACCACTGGGGAGCATCCATATCAGGCAAGCACCCTGGCAGTTGACAGTTGCCACGCTGTTCTTTCTAAACCTTCTGGGCTCTTTACTGAGTCACAGTTGTAACATGAGGATTCACTACCAAACGTCAAGTAACACTGAGCCTGTCCCAGCGCGGTCCTGATATCAACGAAAGGGAAACGTCCTTTTCAATGAACATTTACGGATACAATGAGTATATCCCAGCACTGCGTATGAGAAATGTTAAATGTTTATAACACATTTTCCACATTTAGGAGATGGAGACACAGAATTATACAAAGAGACGTCTTCAGTGGGGATTTGTGGGAGTGAGAAGACCTATCATGGGGAAATCACCTGCTTTTACTGATCCCAGTGACTCCATATCATAAAAGCAGATTTAAAATAGCTATAAGAACAGCAAGTCCAGACTGCAACTGTCTAATGGACAGAAAAAAAAAATCCCAATTATAGTGAAAGACTCAAGACTTACCTCAGATTTTGTAGTTTACATTCTGGGTGTTTCAAGGCTTCACATAATAATTTTACTCCATGATCTTCTATGTTACTTCCTTTCAGGTCAAGATGCATCAGATTCTGCTTGTGAGTCAAGAAGCTAAAGGTACTGTCATAACCCTCAGGGAAAACCACAAACTTCAACCTTAAGAAAAATATAGTGAGGGATTAAAAATCATCTTTTGCCCTGGGTACAGCAACCCTCTTCTTTTACATCTAAATCTGAGATATTCTATGAGTATTCTCTCACTTTCATCTTTTATCAGACTTATATCCCAGGTAAAGTAATAAATCTTAATTTCAGGTTATTGTATAGAAAAATAACCTGATTATAATTGATTTCCACTTATATATTCTGACACCCTTAACTTTCTTTTTCTTTTTTTTTTCTCTTTTGAGACAGGGCCTCACTATGCAGGTTCAGGTTGGCCTTGAGCTCACTTTTATAGCCCAGGCTCATCTCGAACTTGCAATGATCCTCCTGCCTCAGCCTCCTCAGTGCTGGGATTACAGGCATGCGCCACCACACCTGGCCTCCTTTAACTTTTCTTAAAGGGAAAAAAATGATATCAGGAAAGGCAGAAAGGAACTTCTGAACTCAGTTTCAGGAATAACTGCCCAAATTATCAGGGCCATTCCAAATACCGTAATCATATTAATTCATAATAGTCATATATTCTTTAAATAATCCAAGATAAGAAGACAGTTAATGTTTAATATTTTATATGCATCATTAGCAGAAAACCATTGCTGCAAGATATGTTCTCTCTTTTTATGAACAAATGTTAGGTTTACAGAAGCCACCCAAAGCAAAATATGAAGTTAAATTTTCCAGTATTTCTTTCCATTTACATCTCTTAAACTCTATCAGCATTAGATACATGATTCTGCTATCGTTCCTCTGCTGGCTCCAAATGCAGTCTATTCACACTGCAGCTATTCAAAACCTCTCTTTACAATACCACCTTTCCTCCCTTCTGCCCACTACTATCCCTCTTCCTCCATCCCCACTACACCCAGTGAAGCACTCACAAGAACATAAAGCTTTTATGTCCATCACTAACCATCCTCATCCTGTAAAAGTACCAAAGATAAATAGAAACCAAAAGCCCTGTCTCACTTGTTAGGAAAAACGGACCCAACTAAGGCCAGATGACTGAGAATGGTCAGCAACATTTCAGTCCCAGAAACAGACCCTAAGAGGAGGCCATTTAACTCAAAGTAAGGCATGAGTTATTAAGATTGGGCTAAAGATAATCAATGAAAGGACAATGTGGGGGGAGATGTTTAGAGTGAAAATGACTTCTAGGAACCCCTTAATCACAACATATGCAGTTGCCTCACCCTATCTGTCAAGACCAGACCTATTCAAATTGCTTAAATCTAATGTCTGAACTCAAAAATACTGAGATTTTGAGGAATCTTTAATGATGAAACAAAAACCTATCAGCTGTTCAGCATTTAGTACCTATTACTAAGTACCAAACGGACCTGGGGCACGTGACTAAATACAGAGAAAAGTAAAATCAGTTCCATCCCCTAGTAAAACCAACAGGAAGAGCACGAAAGACGTGCAGACAAGGACACACTAAAGAGTGAGACTCTTGCCAGGCATGGTGGCACACCCCTGTAATCCCAGCACTTGGGAGGCTGAGGCAGGAGGATCATTGGAAGTTCAAGGCCAGCCTGGGCTACAAAGTGAGCTCAAGGCCAGCCTGAACTGCATAGTGAGACCCTGTCTCAAACAGACAAAAAAAAAAAAAAAAAAAAGTGAGACTCTTGAATCAAATTGAGATAAAATTTGAAAAGACTGACAACAGCAAATAGAAGCAAGACGAGCACCTGGAACCTTCACATATTGCTACTGGGACTATAGAATGATGCAGCCACCTTGAACTGTTTATATCTTAAATAAAACACATCTATGAACTAGTAATTCTGTCCCAAGGTATTAGGCCAAAATATGAGCATATCTGTCACAAAAAGATAATCTTTTCACCAAGATGGAGCCGAAAGTGAAGGATATTTCTGCCCCTCCCAAAGCTGATGCTAAGGTAAAAGCCTTAAAGTCCAAGAAGGCAGCACCGAAAGGAGTCCATAACCATACAAAGAAAACCACACAAGGCACACCTTCCGGCAGTCCAAGGCATTGTAAATCAAACAGGATGTATAGAAGCTCTGTAACATTGATGTGATCTCCCAGATCAGGCCTGACAGAAGACAGAAATATACTCGACTGGCTCCCTCCTGATTGTGATGCTTTGGATGTTGTAAACAAAATCGTGGTACTCTAAACTGAGTTCACCTGGCTAACTTAAGTATACATTGTTTTCACCATAAGAAAAAGACTAAGGAATATTCAAAGCAACCTTATTCATAATACCTAAAAATTAGAAAATCTTCAGGCATTTATTAGTGAGAACAAATAAGTTATAGTATATTCATACTATGAGTGAATAAACTATTAAAAATCCAAGATAAACTTTTAAAAATATTTTGAGCAAAGATACATAAAAATATATAGAGTGTACTAATCAACCTAAGTGATTTCTAAGAAACTGTTCTCTGGTGACAGATTAGAAAATGATTACCTCTGGGATTGGGTGGCATGACAGGACTGAACAGAAAGGAATACAATGAAATTCTGAGGTAAAAATATTTTTTATCTTGTTTAACATAAACATAAGTGTTACATAAGTATTATTAAATACAAATTTACTACCTATACATTTTGGTGAATGTTATTTCCCAGAAGAAAAAAAAATTAAGAAAAATAAATAAGTTCCAGAACATGTCTGAAAGTGCTTTGTTGACCTGCCTAGAATATCTTAGGTTTATACTCTTATTCTTCTAGAAAATTCCCTATCCTCAAAAAACCCATGGCAACAACTACTCTAGAATCTTTTCCAGAATGTGTTTGCTGTGCTTCATATTCTCAGACATTTCTACCATTCATGTTCTTAGAATATGCATGTTCTTAGAATATTTCACATGATGGATTTTAAATACAGTAATGCATCACTTAATGATGACGATACGATTTGAGCAATGTATCATAGGTGATATGTCACTGACTGTACTTACATGAACTACTACGGCTATCAGGTCACTCTATGTGATATAACCTTATGGGATAACTCATCTGTCTTTGACCAGAATGTTATGTATTATACCGACTATATAGGTTAACTGTTGGTTTCCCCTGACCAGTAGGAGTGGAAGGTGGAAAAAAGTAGTCAGAATGAATACTATTCAATTTTTTCATGTGAGACTTACAGGAGTCTTTGCAGTTTACAGTTTGGATGCTTTAGTTCTTGATAAAAAGTCTTCAAGGTTAATATATCAAGGTTGCTGTGGCACAAGTCCAGTTCTGTCAAGTGTTCATTTGTATGAAGCACAGAGAAGAGATTTTGCCAGCACTGAGTAATGCGATCACCATCCACTTGCCTATGTAATCAGAAAACGAAACAAAAAGAACATTTTATAAGCCCCAGCAACTCTCAAAAGGGGGTACTGGGGTAAAAGTAAATCGTCTTTGGAAATGGCAAGAACATTTGGTGCAGCTTTGCCATGGGCATAGTCCACCAGGACATTTCCTCTGGGTATTCCAGAGGCTTTATTTGCCCAGTATGTCTCCCATCTCCTATCTGTTTCCTCTCAGACACATGTTGTTATTTTGGCACCAGTGCAAAAAATAGGATTAACTAGCACTAACTTCCCAACATAGGTGAAGGGATTTGACAATCTAGTGGTTGGACTACCTTCCTAACATATTAGGCATAAAAGATATCCTAATAGCCTGGGTTCAGTCATACCATCTCTGCATAGAACTATGAAGTCAGAGTTAAGAAAACTGACTGGAGGAAATTACAATTCCTCAAGGAAGGTAGAGTCTGGGATGCTCTGAACTATACGTTTCTGCTCCCACAGTTCAGAAAGCAAGGAGATGTCTATTTTTATGTGAGAAATGCTTCTGCAACTATATGTAATGGCAATGGGACAGCTTGGGCAAAGTTGAGAAAAAGCAAGGATTTATAATCAGATGATGGTCACAGTCAAGTTATACAAGCCTTTACATTAGTTTTTTCCAAAAGTAAAAGATAAAGGGATGGCATCTACCTCTGCGGACTAGCAGTAGGCCCAGTCAAGGGACTTAGACAACTATGGTATGTCAGGTACGTGATAAAAACTCAGTCAGTGTTAACTACTACTTGATGTGTGCTTGAATCAAGAATTACATATTTATTTTCTAAGTAAATCTCTCCAAATCTCAATTTTGGAATCTTAGAAATAAATTGACATTTATGTACCAGATATACAATTCTATTGCCATCAGAATTAAATTAGATAAATGTATTAAGTATCAGGTTCATTAATTGTATCATATAATAAGTCCCAGATTTTAGTTAAATCTGGAATCGAATTCCACTGAAGGATTTTGAAGTTTCCCCTAGAATTAGATGGGGTAGACTCAGAAAAGCCAACTTGAAGAGGGTAAGGTAAAAACAATAAAGTAGACATAAAACTCCTTCTTTCAAAAATATTCATCACCTACTCTTTGCTACTAACCTGATAGTCCTTAGATATTAAATGGCTGAGACTGTTCATAAACTACAAAGCAATGTCCACCTTCATCTGCACAATGGAGAGGTGAGCTAGGTCCGTGGGTTGAAAGGAGACATAGGACGGAGAGATGACCCACGTACACCAGCTTCAGTGAGAAATTTCTGGCCCCTTATTCTTACATTTGTAAGTTTTGAATTGCTGTTCATACCCTAATGAATGCAAAATTTAAACTTACCCTAATGTATGCAAGTTTGCACTGCTGTACACTATATCCTTTAAGGATTGAAGGTTAATTCCCTTGAGTTGTTGGGAATGCTGACATCTGAGAACTCAGCCCAGTCTCTTTCTTTAAATTGCCCTCAGGCCAGGAACGCTATCACAGGCAGGATTTTCCTGTTCCTCACCAGCCATGACGGGTCAATGAAGATCTTAAATACCTGGCCTCCCTGCTACAAGGTAGAACAACTCTCATCCCATCCTGGAACTCCAGCTAAGTAACTCCTCCCTCTGACAAAACCATCTTTCTTCATGTCTCACAGGGCATTCCCAGAGAAATGACAAAATACACTTACTTGGTTTCAGCTGCAGAGCTTGAGTTTATCATAATTATATCCAGCTTAAGGGTCTGCAAACATCGGCAGTGCTTAAGGCAGAATGAAGACACAAGCAAATGGATTTCCTTACAAATATTAATGAAAACCTTTGAGAAATTTCCCATGGCCTGGGCTACAAATGCTTCATCCTGTGTCTCATACAGATAGTGAAACAAGTCCAGAAATACTAGCTGTGATGGAGAAATGTCACTGTTTCCGAGTACTTTTATCCACTGAAGTACCTCCCATTTTATCTTCAGAGACATTTTGCACTTCAAAGTTTCCTCCAGTTGTTTTACTAGCTCTTCATTCAAAAGGCCAAACAAAAAATATTTTAGTTGTGTCAAATGGGGGTCCCGATCACTTTTACTGTCAAGTAACAGGTTCAAATCTCCAAAAGACTGGGAGGAATCTTCTCTGTCTTCCCAATCGCTTTTCAGCACATAAAACATAGCTGCAAAAAATTCCTGAATATGTAGATGGGCGAACAGATAGCAGTTGTCATAGTCTGCGTCCTTTTGAAGAATATTCATGTCTAGAAAAACTGAGGTATCGCAAGTGGTTAACCCATGCTTCCTGAGATCATTCCTGTAGAGCACATGTGTCATAGTCCACACTCCTTTGGCAGCTAAGTAGCACATGCTTCTCAACTGGGCTTCGTTGGGTAGACTAGGAAGGTATCCATCTCCTGGTGAGAATACGCTAGAGATATAGCAGGTCAACACAGCTGTGGTTGTTTGGCACAGCCTTGTGATGTCATCATTTCTCTCCATTTGCTGCTTCAGACAAGTACAGACAAGCTGGCACACCAGGGGAACATGGCACATGTCAAAAAGCCTCTCATTGTTTCTTATTGCATTGAACACATTCACGGCCCAGGACTCCTCTTCAAAAAACTTATAAATATGCTCTTTTCTTTCATCCTGGGACATTCCTTTTAGGTCTACATAACACTGACTCTTTAACAAATTCTGACTGAACAAACGCTTTAGTCTGTTAGAAGCTGTGAGTCTTACTGTCACCAATAAGGATGATTCAGGGAGCATCACTTTCCTCAGCAAACTACTTATGAGGAAGGACACAGGGTGTACTTGCGTCCAGTCACCACACAGTGCAAATTCAGGTTCCTCAAAAGCGAAGTTTAGTTCATCAAAACCATCAATAATAAAAAGGATGCGACTTGGCTGGGACAGGATCTTTTCAATGGGGATTTCAGTGCTAGGCCAGTCCTTTGATATCAATTGAGCAAAGCTTTTCTCCTTCACCTGACTAATTTCTCTCCCACTGAGATAAAAAACATAAGTAAACTTGTGCCGATAAAGTTTCCCCTCAGCCCAGAGTAACATTGCCTTTCTCATCAAGGTTGTCTTCCCAACTCCAGCAGCTCCCCGAAGTACCACTGTGTGGAGCTGCTCACCACCTCTGACATTCACATCGAACAAACGTTCCAGAAGTTTCTGCTGTTGTTGAGAAGCTCCATGATGGAAATCTAAAGGTTTTCCAAGCAAATAATTCTTATCCAGAATGTGAAATTTTTCTTTTATTCGAAGCTTATATTCTGTTCTAGCACCTAAGCCGATTGGAAAAAAAAATGCACACACACAAGATCAAAACAAATTCCATTAACTGCAATATTAACACTGGACCTGGAATGAGGAACAAAAAATATAGGCTGAAATTAAATCTGGGTTGGATTTTAAATGAATGTCAACCAAGTGAAAATATTTCTGTTCATTTAAAACTTGTACAAGAAGCTGTTAAAAAAATTAAAAATGTGATAGAAAATTTGAATTACGCTAGAAATAGTTTTACACTTTTCCTCAAAAAAGATGACATGCATAGAGAACAGACTCATCATTCATATAAGTAGTATAGGCAGCAAGGATGGTAACAAAGGAGGGCTCCAAGACAAACTTCAACGTACAAATCAAAATAATCCACTTTAAGTAAAAATAGAAATAAATTAATGAAAATTAACAAATTAGTAATTAATGAAGCAAAAAGCTTTAATTTTTAAAAATTCCCACTGGGCATGGTGGCACATGCCTGTAATCCCAGCACTTGAGAGGCTGAGGCAGGAGGATAGTTGCAAGTTCGAGACCAGCCGGGGCTACAAAATGAGTTCAAGGCCAGCCTGAACTGCACAGTGAGACCCTGTCTCAAAACGACAAAAGGGGCTGGGGATTTAGCTCAGTGGCAAAGCGCCTGCCTGGCAAGCGCAAGGCCGTGAGTTCGGTTCCTGGTACCGGAGAAAAACAACAACAAAAAAAAAACGACAAAAAAAAAAAAAAAAAATTCCCAAATATCTAAGTAGGATGAAAATAGTTTTAACTTTCCCTAGTTAAATCTGATTTTTCTCCTAAATTTTCATTTAAAAGACACTCTTTCCCAAACAGCAATGCTTCCTTCCATATATTCTCAAAACCCAGTGTATTTTTCATTCGAAGTAAATATCACAAGCTTTTGTTACTTTGTTTTAAGGAAATGATAGACTGGGTAGAGGCTACATCAATAGTTCGTCACATGCCCAGAATCTAACATTTCCTTGCACACAAGTTTCAAACATTTATTGAATTAAAAAGTGAAGGGGTGCAATAGCATAACTGAATGCTATGCAACTTTTGAATAAAGTACAACTAAATGCAAAACTGCAAGTATGCAAAAAGTCAGAGCTGAATAAGAAATCAAATCTCAAAAATATATATATGATATAATCCTATCCTGGAAAAACAGAGATTTATAACCACAAATCTATATACAGGCTGTGCGCTAAAATGTTAATACTGGTGCATATTTCTAAATAGCAATAAAGCCGGGCATGGTGGTGCACGCCTATAATCCCAGTACTCGGGAGGCTGAAGGACTGTTGTGAGTTTGAGAACAGCCTAGGCTACCAAGTGAGTTCAAGACCAGCCTGAAGTGAATAGTGAGATCCTGTCTCTAAAAAAAAATAAATAAATAAATAGCAAATAAATAAATAAATAAGTAGCAAAACTGGGGAAGGAAGTGAAGAGGATAAGAAATGCACCTTATGTACTTCTGTAACATTTGAGCTTCTTTAATACATTAACAACAGGACTGTAATTCATATGTCTTGCTGCTGGCTGGCTTGAACCACATGTGGTACCTGCATGACTGTTCAACTGGGCACCTTTGTATTAATTTTGCTGGTAAAAGACTGATGAAAGTGACTAGACTGGCTTGTACCACTGCTGCATATACCACTGATAGTTCAAACTAGTGGGAATGTGTTAAAATATTTATGTTTTGCTTATGTTAAATTGAAAAACAAATATGTGGACACATAGCCAATTTATTTTTAAAACAAAAAACATGATTAGCCAGGTAAAAAATTGAATCTTATTATGAAGCTATAATTCAGTACGGTGTTGGTATACACTGAGAAGCATCAGTATATCATTGCTATTCTTATTTTCTATTGTGTACTTACCTAGTTTCCAAAGGTTCTATACTAATTTATCACAAATTGTCAAAAATATGGAGATAGTTACCTGTATGTATATATCTGCACATATTAGGGGAATAACCATTAGGTTTTAAATCAAAATAACAACAGCTTTTAGTTTTTTTCATATACCACAAAAAAAAACATCCTCATTGTAGATCAAAAACTAAGGTCACAGTAGGGTGTGATAGTTGTGGTCATGTAGTACAATAAGCAACTTGCATTTATTAATGCTTGCAATGAGAGTGGTTCTCAATGATTTCTTTAATGAAGTAATGTGGCCCTTTAGAAAGCAGTTTTTCCTGGGTTAAGAATAAAGGTTTATCACTTATTCTTGATTTTCTACAGTAATTCATATAAACTAGAACTTAGCTATAGGATTCAAAACAAAACAGGGAGACAGAATTGGAGTTGAACAAGGACTGAGAATACCAGATTCTAGAAATTATACTTTATGTACACTAGTCACCATGCCTGGAACTCAATTATAGCACCATCTCTAAAGGAAGGGAATAGATATAAGAAGTCATACGGTCCCTGCCAACTCAGAGTTTTAGTCCATAAAACAGTCTTGTTTATCAGACTGTTAACTTTTGACTTGGAATTTCCAAATACTGCTCTCTTGCCCTAAATCAATATGGACCTGACTCAGACTTTGCCAGAGAGCTATTTTATTGACTCTTTCTAAATGATACTCCGGGAATAGGCACAGGCAATATATCAGAAGTTAGCAAGTGTTGGAACAATGATCCTCCGAGAGTTAAACCTCCAGTCATGTTTCAGAAGATCAAACGCTGGGGTAGGGGAGCCAATCTACTCACTCAGCATCGCCTCTGGTATCTCCCCAGCCTCAGCCACCTCTGGTCCCATCTTCTCTGTCCCTGCAACAGGTTAGAACAGAAAATGAGATTTGCAGAGAGCAATAAACTTTGGTGATTGCCAGTACAGGAACCAGCATTCTCCTCAGGGGTCCAGTTCTGTGACCACCAAAGTCTCAAGCTCCATCAGCTTAGCATCAGATAAGAGGTGATGTGGTACAAATAACACTAGAGTAGGAAACCTCTTGCCATCCCCAGCCTGCATAATAGGTCTCAGTTTCCTTGCCTGTACGGACCTCAGGGAGACAGAGTAAGCCTCAAAGGAGATAATGGATACACACTTGGAGTTCTAAAGTCTCGCCTATGAGTAAGGAGTTTTAAATGTCTAATATTTCACATCTGGGATGACTAAAAATACAGGGCTTGTTTTTTGTTGTTCAGTAGTTTTTAGCCCTATACTCATTTCAGAATATCAAATATGATTTAGTCATAGGGTAACTTATGACTTTGTAGTTTAGGCAAAGGCACACTAGACAGGATAATTTCTATTACTCACTTCCTTTAATTATTTCGATAAGTATAAATGACCCCCCCATTAAGGAGCCATGCTGAATAACAGTACTGAAGACTCTTTTACCTAAGTTCCTCCAGTGACCCCATCAGCTTGCCATGTGTAATATCCCCATGGCACCTGTATCCCTCAGAGCCATTTAATCCCTAAATCTCTTATAGAATCATTCCAATGAGCTCTAGGAAATACTTCCTCTCCCTCCTCCCACATCTGTCCTAGCATCACTCACAGTTGGTCTCTGCTTTTGCTCTCTCATACAAATCCTTCAGGTTCAGCTTGGCAAAGAGTCTGAGAGTTATAGTCCAGGCCTGTTTTCCTGGATAGTATTTGTTTATCAAGTTAGCAAGTTGCTTTCGGTTGGCCATCTTTACTGCAGTCCAGGGCATCACGCAGCGCCCAGGTGCCATGGTCTCCTTTAGAAGTAACTTGAATTTATTTAATTCTTCATTGTTTAGCTCCTCCAAATACCATAGCAGCCCAAAATCAGAAAAGGAGGAAAATGATGATGAATCTGCCATCTTGTCCATGGATTACGATGCAAGCACTAATGGGGAAAAATAATTTAAAAAAATGAAATAAATAGGACCTATGAAAAAGTACAATTAGGAAACAAAATCTCTACAGAAATATAGACTCAGCCAGGTGTGGTGGTGCAGGTCTGTAATCCCAGCACT